ATATCCAAGATAGGGTACTTGTAGGCAAGCAACTCCCTCTGGGTCTCTATAATATGCTGTCCTCTCTTGTATCATATAGTACTCTACTTATACTATTCATTTACTAATACTAGGTGTACTATATTAAACAGCCTTGGTAACTGCAGTATTAAGCTTAGTGAGTATAGCAAAATTTTTATAATGTAAAACCTTCAAGACTGTGAGGTTTATATGAAGCATAATATATTTAAAAGTTTGTATAGCCAATAATACACTATTCTTTCTAATATTCCTTATAAATCTCTAATAAAACACATGGTTAGTCTTCTGCAGTATACTAGCCTTTTATATACTGGCTGTGAATAGCTTAAGCATCTACAGCAAGCCTTGCATATGCATTGCAATAGATCTTGTGGACTATATTAGAGTACTGCATGTATACTAGAAATGACATGTCCTATATGATTGAGTATCATTGTGCCTGGTTATGCCTATGACACATAGCTATTGAGAAGAAAGTTTGCAAGAAATACAAAAAGTTTCTTATGCTCTTCTGGCCAGAAAAAGTCTTCTGCATGGACTCTATCAATTATTTCTTTGCATTTAGGTGTACCTTTCTGTTGGTGTATATTCCAGTGGGTGGGTACTCAATTGAGGCATGCTGACTAATGGATCTCCTCTGATTTCATATACAATGTGGAACTCTGATAGTAATCCTCCTGTAATAGGCTATATTTTTTACACTACTAGCTTATATTTTTTAGTCACAAAGACATCCTTTACAGATTCTACTGTAGATGGAGAATACTCCATGCTGACTTTTTTAAGGAAGTTAATCTCTATACCTCAATCTGGATTGGCTCTGCATAGTTGTGTGTATGTGTCATGTGCATGTTTCTGTGCCTTTTCTCTGTCTTTTCATATATTTTATTTCTTTAAGTGCCCCAAAATATGAGGATAAAGTCCTATGTGCCTTTGTATCCTCATCATACACCATTGAGCTGATGATAGTATATACTGCCTGCAATTCCTCTTTTTTAAATTTATGTGATCTGATGGGTTTTGCATATCTGCTGATTATCAGATCACCATCTTGATCAGTTTCAATTATTGGTGCTAAATCTCCTTGATCATTAATCAAATCATTGATCACTGAAAACTCTCATCTACTTTGTGTGTTATGAATTTTTTTTGCCTTCTTGAGAATGTGGGTATCATTGCATATTGCATAGAGTTAGGATCTTTTATCTTGATTGTCTGTCCTCCATCAGCAGTGTTATACACTGTACTCATAGTCAATGCATCAAATGGTCTTCTGAGCAATACATCATAGGCTGGATCTTTAATGATATGTACTTAGAAGTACACTGTAATGTCACCAAACAAGAATGGGATATTCTTTGCCATCCTGAGGAACTTCTCTACTTGTTTATTTATGGATTGCATGTTTATCACTTTGTCTGGGTTATATATCAAACTCAGACTCTCAGCAACTTAACTAGACATCAACACAATTTATGAGTCTGTATTATATAAGTTTTTGAACTGCTTCATGCCATTTATAAAAGAGAAGACAGAGCATAAGGTCTGTGAGTCTTTAGCCATATAGACCTGCTTTGAAACTTCTCCTTTCTCTGCTACATCATTTAGATATTGCTCAAAAGAATTTTGCCAGATGACCACTCCTTCTGAGACTCTATTTCTCATTTCTGTTGTGGCAATAAAGGTTTCTTCAAATAGGATCTCTGATAGATATACTGCATCTCTAGGCAATCTATTTCTCTCATTCAGTCATCTCTGCAAATAGAAGAGCCTCAGTGACTTCATCTTTCTTCAGCTCTGATTCTTCTTTTATGACTAGCCCAAACTATTGCTTGCTACTTTTCTTGAATTTTCTCAGAGATACTTTTTTCATAGTCAGCTCTTGCTTTATCACACTACCAACCTTCAACAGAGCAAGCAATTCTCCAACTGTCATGGCTATGGGGGACTTCATGAGTTGCTCTAATAACTCACTGTTTCACTGGTGCTTTTAACTGATAAGCAACCACTTTTTCTTTGATCATATATGGTACAAATCCTGTTTTCTTTAATAATATCTATGCTGGATCTCTCTTCTTGTCCACATTCATAACATCTGGAACATTGAGATATGGTATCTTTAGCTCCAGCATCACACTGCATGCAGTCAGTATTATCTTAGATATGAGATCCAATTACACCTGCTTTTTGTTCACTGTTCTGGACAGAGATTCTGCTTCAGAATCATCAGATGAGTTCTCTGCTATCTCAACTCTAATTGCTTCTCTCCACTTTTTGTTTCTTACATCCTCTGAAGGTGATAGTGAATCTGATCTGGAAACTCCATGAGTTATTGTGTGATTCCTGCCTGCCTTCATTGAATGCCTAGAAAAAGTCTGCTCTCTATCCTCATCTGATGGTTCTTGCTCTAACAGTTTATCTAGGGGTGGCTCCTTACTGTGAGTCTGCATTCCTGACTCTTGGCTAGTCTGCTGCATTCTTATTGCATACATCTGCTGCTCCAGCTCCTGTTTCTCTTGCAACAATACACTATAACCCCCTGGGACTGCAGTTATCACCACATTCTGACTCTGCAGCTTTCCAGCTTTTGAGAAACTAACTCTCAGATAATGTATATCTCAGTCTGGGGCTTATAGCATAATTGACTGAGATAGCTTTAGATATTTACAAAGTATTTATACTACTGCAACTGAGTGGCATTTGCCACTCTATAGACAATGTAATTTCTATGAATAAGGTAAGTCTTTTGTCTTTAGTGTATCTGACATCTATTGTCTCAAGAACAATGGGATGCCAACACTCATCCTCAACTTCTACTTATGCAACCCCATATACCCCCTCAGAGACACAAAGCTTATGGTATCTAGAGCTTTGGTAAAGCAATCAGTGATGTTATGCTTGGTATTAATATAGCTGAGTCTGATTTCTTTGTTTTTGACACATTCATAAATAAAATGGTATTTAATATTGATATGCTTGACTCTTGAATGGAGAGATGGATCTTCCAAGAGACTTGTGGTGCTACTGTTGTTGCAATTAATTATAGTAGCCTGGTCATGTTTAAGTCTCAAACCTTTTAGCAGACACTCAAATCCAAATAGCTTCTTTTGTAGTCTCACATGCAGCTATGTATTCCACTTCACATGAAGACAGGGTTACAGTCTGCTGTTGCTTAGCATTCTATGACACCAGTTCTGATCCAAGAGAGAAGCAGTAGCCTCCAATGCTCCATCATGTGTCAAGACAGTTAGTCCTGTCAGAGTCTGTGTAACCAATCAAGTTGGTCAGATCTAGTTTATCTCCAAGATGTAATTTTAAGTCCATAGTGCCTTTCAGATATCTGACAATACTGATGGCAGCATTCCAGTGTATGAAGGTATAACAATCCAGAAATATTGACAGTTGTTGAACTGCATAGGATATGTCAGGCTTGATTCTGACAGGAAGGTAAATGAGGGATCCAACAACAGATTGATATGGCATCTTCTGGAGGGTAGCTTAATCTTTATCTGATAAAGAGGATGGATCATATCATCTAAGTTTAAGACTGGGTTCTATAGATGCAGAAGCAGGGTGAGCATCTGCTTGGCCAAATTGTCAGATGATCCAGTCAATTAAAGCTATTTGAGATAGTACAACAGTCTTGTTGGCATGATCCTATTGAATTGCAATACCAACACAAAATTTGGCTTCTCTTAGGTCTGAGATGATCTATTTCTGATTCATTTGCTTTTTGAAGAACTCATTCTCCTCCTTTAAGCTAGTGATAGAGAGGAAATCATTAACAAGGACAGCAGCCATTATGATCCCAGTATCTGTCTTCCAATAGTAGATGCAATACTCACTACTCAACTGTGTAAACCCTCAGGAAAGCATAGCCTTGTTCATTGTGCAATTCCAAATATGGCCACTCTGCTTCATACCATATCATTAGGCAGAAGGCTATATAAGAAGGCAGTTTTAATGTCAATTTACTGAGTATCCCAATCAAAAGCAGCTGTGAGATGAAGCAAAATTCACCAAGACTCCATTTGGGCAGTTAGAGAGGTAGTTTTTATGTAGTCATGGCTGAAAATCTGTTCAAAGCCTTTGAAGATGATATGAACTTTCTATTATATGGCATCACCATGTTTGTCCCTCTTGATCTTAAAAGTGAGCCAGCCCTTCCAGATCTTGTGACTTTGGAGGACAGGGGAGTGCAGGACCAGTTTGTAAACTTCTATGTCCTTTAAGGATTGAAGTTCATCATAGTAGCCAGTGAGCTAGCAGTCAGCATCAGCAGACTGTTTTACCTCCTCTCATGTTGCAAGCTCATCCTCAAGGCTAATAACAGTCAAGACTTCATGCTCAATATTGGAAAAGAGATCATCAATAGTGAGAAGGGCTTCAGAGCTAAGCATATCAGTCAGGAATGTGTGGAGAGCTTTGCAAGCAGTGTCATCAACATTGAGAGAGGTGTCATCAGTATTAGAAGGATCAGATACTGTAGCCAGAGGAGTAGCATGTAATTTGGTGAGCAATTGTCTCTATTCAGCTGCTGATCTCTAATGTGCTGTATGCTGTCTCTTACTTCAGATAATATACAGTCAAGCTATGAGAATGTTGGTGTCACCTCAGAGGAAAGTCTCTCAGAGCAATAAGAAGCAGGTGGAGTATTCCTCTCAGTGTCTGAAACAATAGAAGGCACAGATTTGTAGGCACTTTCAGAATGAGTTGCAGTTGGGAGAGAGAAACAAGTGGCAGGTCATCATCAAGGATAAGAGAGGAGGAGGGTAGAGTCTCAGTGATAGCACTGATAGTGGATGATAGAAAGGTGAAGTTCTGATCTGGTTGAGCAGATATGAGAGCTGTAAAGTGAGTTGGTGAGACTTGATGAATTGAATATAGTGAGAAGATATAACTTTGCAGGATGCTTTGTGATAACAATGATAGGTCTTTAAATTAGCATTGTAGTCTATGAGAACATATTTCTCTGAGCATTATAGTATCTTGAGGTTACATTGATTCTGAATCAGCATAAAAGCTTTACAACTGATTTCTTGCAGGTGAGTTACATCTGGTCTTCTCTCATGCCACTTCTCATATGGCATCATGCCATTTGGTGATTTGATAGCTGTAAGATTATCAAAGTAAGCAGCTGTCAGATAGAATTCATCCCAAATGTTTTCTGAGCATGATGTGTACAGTCATATAGCATAGGCCTTATTCATCAAGACACAATGCTGTCTCTTAACTCATCCAATGTGGGCGGACATGTATAGAGCAGTAAACTGTTTCTGAACACTGCAGAACTTGAACCAAATAGTCATCTTGTTAGATTTGAGCTCACTGCTGTCCATACAGTAGATTCCAACTTAGAGTTCTGTTTCATTTTCTCTAGCCTGTTCCTATGCTTGAAGTTTTAAGAAAGAATCATCTTTATTCTGCAAAGGTACTGACCATACATAGCTGGAATAGTCATCAACAATGTCTATGGCATACTGTGTACTTATCTGTGACACCATCACCTGAGAGCCAATCAAATCTACTCAAACAATCTCAAGCCTTTGTTGTTTTCTGTGACTCTCCTGTCATGTTTTTAGGATTGATGTTTTAGTCTATTTCTCTAGAATACAGGAGTCACACTTGAGTGGCAATTTAGAGAGATTAATAGTGATTGCAAAATTTGAGAATCCATGAGCTATTTTACAGTCTATTAGGTATGTAACCAAAAATAGAGCTAGAGCACAAAGAAACATAGCCATTACAATGCTAAACTGAAGTAAAAATGAGCAGAGTGCATAGCCTAGTGGTAGACTAATACCAGAGGGGTTAGGCTGCACATGAGGTTCCAGCACTTGGCCCTAAATGCATTAATACCATTACAAGATATACTAAAAATAAAAGGAATATGATCAAAATATAATTAGCACTTTTGATCACATTGATCAATGATATATATCTATTGATGTACTGATGGGAAATGCTTTAGAACAGAGAAATAGAATAATGATAACAAAGTAATAAATAAGAGAAATAATACCAAAGGACAAATAGTGTATGTAACTGTGATGGACTTGCACATATAATGACCAAAGGCTTGCATATGCAATTATGGTGCTCTTGCATATATAACCCTGTGAGGAACTCTGTGCTATACTGAAGTATGATATATAACTATTGGATGGATTAATTGATATACTGTTATAATTTTTTCTTTTTTCTTTTATCTTATTATATCTTATTGGACATCTATCTTATCACAGAGCACTTAGAATCATGGGACAGTTGCCACACAATGAGAATGAGTACAATAGACAAGCTGCAACAATAGTGAACCATGCTTTGATAATAGACAATACTCATTTGTTGCACATCCAACAATTAGACACTACAGTATCACAATACAGAAAGCTATAATAGTAGAGGACTATATTTATCTTTACAAATGAGTATATAAGTAGGATAGCTCTTGCTATAGATACCCAGCTTTAAGCTAAATTTCATCTATATCATTCTTTTTTTTGAGCTTAGTCTGTTTTGTTTTGGATACACTCTCTGATACAACACAATAAGTGGACTCTAGTATGACTGTACAAACACAATACAGTGCTAGTTTATTATGTATTCAGATCACATAGAGTTTGAGTCTAATAATTAGCTCAAAGCTTCTAGCTTCCCTTTCTTTACACCATCATCAGGTGAAGGAAACTGAATGCTGACAACAACCTCTAATATCACTACTCTTTTCTTTAAGCTCTTGAGCATTATTATTGGCATCCTGCTCAGGCTTTTTGTTATAGTCTATCTTTGCTATGAAAACCAGTCAGTGACTGCTTGGATCATTTGATACTACTAATCTCTGCAGACCTTTTACTGAATTTGACAAAATGTCTCTCTCATCCTCCTCTTCTATGACCTCTCAGCAGAGCCTCCCTGAACCAATGAGCCCACACAAGAAAATATACTCAAAGACAATCAGCCACCTCCAGTTGCTATTAACAAATAGCAAAGAGAAGAAGCCAGCCAGCCTGATAACTTCTGATACTCTCTCTGACCCTAATAAAACAGTCTCTCAGTGGAGCAGCAGAGGTGCCATCTCAATCAAGTTCTGGCACACTTTTCTCCAGTCTCATCTGGACTTACTAAAGATCTCTCTATGACATCTTTGATGCCATATTCTCTTCTGACTCTTCTACTACTCCCTCTGAGTATGGAATTGGAAACTATGCTTGAGACTCCCTTGAGATCTCTCCCAGAATAGCATCCACCCTCAGCTTGACCTATCATATCATGTCTGAAACCCTGAGCCCTAAGTATTTGAGTGTCCTCTCAGAGCTTGACCTCAACAGCAATGGTAATGCAAGAGATACTCTTATTGCATCAGGTGTACTCAGACCAGATTATTTTAACTACTGGTATGAAGAACACAGCACTGTGCACTGGCATGCTCAGTATGATAACTGCAACACAGCATCCTGATCAACCAATGACCCTCAATGTCACAGACTTACTGCTCAGGAGAGAACTTGCCATCCCTTCCAAAAGCCTAGTTGGCCTGGATCTGAGTTAGAATACTCTAAACAACTCATCTCATCCTCTGGATCTCATGTCACTCCTCTTTTCACATATAGAATTAGAACCTCTGAGCCCACCTATATTGGAGATAATATCATCCAAAGGCTTCTCCAATTTTGAGTTGGTAGACTATTCAAAAACAACTTCATTCACCAATATCATGAGTACATAATGGCAGAAGCAGTGGAAAGTACTAACAATAAAGGACAGCAGCCTATTGCTGGACCCTTCCAGCCTTCTATTGACCCCAGACCCAGTCAGCAAGAACATTCCTCCAGTTATCATGGAGGCACCAGTGATTCTCTCAATGTACAAGCTATTAGAGAGCATTCCTGGTGAGAAAGAAGAAACTGATGAAGAATGACTTAACAGAGAGATCTGCTAGAGGCAGAAAAAAGAATTAACCAATTGTACAGAAAGTGCACTTAAGAAATTCTAGAGGATATCATATAGAGAGTGATGCTCTTAGAAAAGAAGTATCTAATCATAGATGACCAGAAAAAGATTGACATTTTGCAGTACTGTATAACTGAACAGGCAATATATTTATATAATAAAGCCTATTCTGAAGAGCCAATGGCTGACCTACTGGCCTACTGATCATAATATGACATTCAGCTAATGCTGAGAATCCCTCCTGTCATGCTGCAATGAGCTATCTACATGGCACTCTTGATCCAATCAATTCTGACACCCTCAGTTTACTCAATCTCACTATAAGCCACTCATGCTATGCCTTTGGTTTGTTCCTTTTCATTGGCATTTTGGCATCTTTTCTCTCACTCTGAATCAGCAACTTCATGATGGACTCTCTGACTGAAGAGCTGAGGAATTTGGATTGTTGCTGGACAGCCACCAGCTGAAGAAGACTAGGATGATCCTGAAGCTAGAAAGCTAGAGTTCAAGGTTGTCAATGGACATATTAGGAGAGATAAGCCAACAGGCACTGAGAGTCCAGTCACAGGTGATAGATCACTATGCTTATTCCTTGGAGCACTATAAGAATATCACAACCTGCTATTTGATAAGTATCTGAATCCAATGGACCCTCTGACCACTGATGCTACACTAATTCAATGCAAGCCTGACCTTGTATGAAAGCCTCACCCTTTTAAAAGGCAGTCCAATGATATTGACTGCTTCTTAACTGACTGCAAGGCTTATTTCCAGATCTACTCTACCTATATAACCAGTGATATATACTGAGTCACCTTTGCTGCCTCCTATTTTAAGGACAAAGTGAAGGAATGGTAGACTCTACAACTTGCCAAACTATATTCTACAATCCAGAGGCATTATCAGCTGCTATCCTGAGAGCAATTTAAAGAAGTAGTTCAGAAGAATTTTACTGATTCAGCCATCCAGAAGATGGAGATGCACAAGAACAAGATGAAGAAGTATTGAATGGGTGACAAGACAGCCAGCAAGCACTTTAACAAGCTCAAAAGACTCATTAAACTGGCAGGCACATAAGATGACATCAGTGAAGACAGGTGAATGATAGAAGCCCTGAAACTCAGAGTACCATTCTCTTATATTAAGATCATCTCAGACATCAGACTTAACATTCCAAAAGGATGCAATGAGTGGAAGTAACAAATTGCTGTCATAAACCAAGAATGACAACAGCAGAAGGTCATGAGTAGATACCAATTGACCAACAAGAAGACCAATGGAGAAAGCCACAAGGGAGTGATGACTACAATCACCACCCCACCTAAGACAAGCACTACCCCTATATACTCTGCCCAGAAGATAACAACTGGGACCACTGACACCAGCCAGAAGAAACCAATAAACATAGGCCAGTTAAAGAAGGAGGAAAAGTGCTTCAACTGTGGGAAAAAGGGTCATATGTCAAAGAACTGTCTAAAGAAGAAATGAATCTGCAAATATATCAGAGCACAGATTGCTGAACTACAAAAGGAAGCAGATGTGATCAAAAAGAATAGCAAGAATATGAAGATTGAGGAGGTAAAAGATGAGGCTGATGAGTGAGCAATTCCACTTGATCAGCCAAAGGACTTAATAGTGTGTCTTGGAATACTGCTGGGCAGACTTATGCTAGCTCTGTAGGTACTGATTATTTACACATGCATTTGAATATACCTGCCTCCACTGTTCTAAACACATTGAAAGAATTGCAAAACAAGAAGACTCAAATGCCTATAGGCCAAACAAGAGAAGAGATTCCTGTTGGCTGGCTAAAACCATTTGACACTGAATGGACTTGGCAAGCCATCTGTAACACTAGGACTGAATAGAAGACAAAAGCCATACTTAAGAATTGGATACACAAAGCATGGGCTGAAGAGGTCATAGACAAGATAATGGAAGATATACACAATACAGAGAGGAATTGTGCACCAGAATGGTTAGATGAACTATGCAAACCCTGAAGATATATCCAGCAACAGAAGATGACTGGGAAGGATCTGATTACCAAGGTCCAGATCAAAACCTTAACAAATCAATCCATATTTACCATTTCAGCCCTGATTGACAGCAGTTGCACTAAGAGCTCAATCAATTATGCTTTTGTCACCAAGCACCATCTTTCTACCAGGGCTACTGTGGCTCTGATACCAGTTTACAATGCAGATGAGAC